GCCCCGAGGGTTTTTTGTGTATGGCTCGCCCAAGCTGAAGAAAACCTGGTTCGAGGAATTCTTCTATGTTAAGCCTACCCCCGGGCAATGGGCCAGCGGGACCATGGCGGAGCCCACCTCCTGGGAGAAGGGCAGTACGCATGGGTTCGAGTCGGACGTCGGGTTCTACGTCGGGCTGAACGACGAATATGAGGCTTGCATGCCTCATCGCATCAATTTATACGCCAAGGGAGTCCGCGAGGCCTGCTTGGAGGAGCTGTTTGGGGATGGTTAGTTATATTTTCCTTCCTTTGTATTCTATCTTATTAACCGCTCTCTTACGACTTATTGGCGCAGGTGTTGACTTCTCCAACATTGCCAGTATGATGTCGGTGGATGACGTCGCGCCCCGCGCGGACAAGAAGAAGAAGAAGAAGAATGTCGCGGTGCCTAAAGTGCCGAAGCGGAAGGATATCGAGCAGCCGGGCGCGCGGGCTGTCGAGAGGCCCCGCAAGACGATTCGCATCGTGGAGCCGACTCCTCTGGCGGTGAAGCAGACGCCTGCCGCGGTGAAGCAGACGCCTGCCACGCAGCAGCTGACCGCCGCACAGCAGCTGTCCTTAGCATTGTCGCAGCCGGAAGCGACGGTGACCAGACCCGCTCGTCGGGATGGGAGCGGAGCGAGCAGCTCCTCCGGGGCAACCACCACTGCCGCCCCCGCTAGCGCTACTCCCACTACCGCCGCCGTCCACCAAGTTCGTGACGTGCGGATTCATACGGCGGCGGCGTGCAACCTGGTTTCCGCCAATCATGCTCTCCGGGCGATCGGGCCCGTTCTCACCGTTCCTCCGCGGGTGAAGGAGACAGACCCTCTCCATGATCTGGCGCAGATCCACTTCGCGGTAAGCCCTAGTTAGATCTCCGTAGTTTAAGTTTTTACCTTCCTCTCTTCTCTTCCGTTTTCCTTTTTATTGCCATCGCATTTGGCTAAGGCTCGTGGCGTTGTAGGGTCTGTCGGCGACATTCCGAGCTCAGCAAGAGCGCGCCGCGATGCGCGCAAAGATGAAGGCGGACGAGGCGCAGATCGTCCAGCTGGAGGGGAAGGTGCTGGGGGCAAACAACCGGGCTGAAGACGCGACATCCAAAGCCAATGAGGCGTTGGAGTCGCTCGGCCTCTTGCAGAGCCGGTTGGCCGCGGATGTGGAAGCGGCCAAAGAGAAGGTGCGGAACGAAGAGCGCTCCGCCCTCCGGGAAGAATTGGAAGCCTCCTTCTCTGAGAAGTTGCGCAAGGCTCGCGAGGACTTCCAGAAGGAGAAGGACGACCTGGTCCGCCTTCATACCGTCGCGAAGGCTGAGGCCGTTCGCGCAGCCGAGGTCGCGGCTGTCCGCCAGTTCAAGTCTTCCCAACCTTTCGGGAAGATCATGGCGGATGCCATGACCAAGGCCGTGATAGCGGTCGGCAAGAAGGTTCGCCCCGAGAATCCAGGGATGCAGTGGGATACTCGCGACATGGTCCAGCACGTCAAGTCCTGGATCAGCGGGAAGCGTCCTTTGGATTCCGACTCCGAATCCGAGGAAGAGGAGGAAGAGGAGGAGGAAGAGGGGGAGCACCGGGAGGAGGTAGATCGTCCGGCCGGGGAGGAGGTTACAGGCGCCCGGAGGGATGGCGAGGTGGCCGATGAAGACGAGGATGAGGAAGAGGAGAGCCCCTTGGTGCGTCGCAAGTCAAGCAAGGAGGACGAGCAGCCCAACGCTGGCTCTGCCTAAGTGTCGCCCAGTTTTTCCTTAGCTGTTGTCATTGTTTATCCATGTGTAATTGCGAACAAGATTACTGCTTCTTCTATGATTATGCCAAGTGGCCCTCGATTGTGATTGCTCCTTTCTCTCTTTGCTTCTTGCGCGGAGGTGCGCGGACTGGGTGAGCGCGGATAGTGTTGGGTTATCGTTAGCTCTTCGCTCTTTCGGACTAGGCGCGCATAGTACTGGACTACTGCTAATTTTTGTTCTTTCGAACCATGCCCTTTTGCGCGAATAGTGCTGGACTATTGCTAATTTTTGTTCTTTCGAACCATGTCCTTTTGCGCGAATAGTGCTGGACTATTGCTAATTTTTGTTCTTTCGAACCATGTCCTTTTGCGCGAATAGTGCTGGACTATTGCTAATTTTTGTTCTTTCGAACCATGTCCTTTTGCGCGAATAGTGCTGGACTATTGCTAATTTTTGTTCTTTCGAACCATGTCCTTTTGCGCGAATAGTGCTGGACTATTGCTAATTTTTGTTCTTTCGAACCATGTCCTTTTGCGCGAATAGTGCTGGACTATTGCTAATTTTTGTTCTTTCGAACCATGTCCTTTTGCGCGAATAGTGCTGGACTATTGCTAATTTTTGTTCTTTCGAACCATGTCCTTTTATTTATCGCGCTAATGCGCTGTTACAAACGTGGTACACGTTAATCGGCACGATGGTACTTCCTTAGATTCTGTGCGTTCCATGTTCTTGGAATCTTGTTGCCCCCCAATTCGCTGAGTTTGAATGTGTTGGCGCCCACCACTTCGCGAATTAAGTAAGGACCTTCCCACGTCGAGGCGAGCTTCCCGTGCCTGGGGTCGGGGCGGAAGTTCCGTCGCAATACTTTGTCGCCCAGGGTCAACTTGTGGGGGACCAGCTTCGCGTTGTGGTACTTGGCTACCTGTTCTTTCATTGCAGCTAGCCTGATGGCTGCCAACTCGCGCCTTTCTTGCGACAATTCGAGCTCTAGTAGGCGCGCCTCGTCGTTTGCTTCCTCGCTGTACCCGGTGATCCGGTAGGTCGGTATTGTCGTCTCGATGGGGATCACCGCGTCAGTGCCATACGTGAGGGCGAAGGGGGTTTCGCCTGTAGCCACTTTGTATGTAGTGCGGTGCGCCATAGCACCGTGTGTAGCTCGTCCGCCCAATTGCCCTTGGCCTCATTCAGGCGAGTGTGGAGGCCATGTAGGATTGCCTTGTTGGAGGACTCTGCTTGGCCGTTGGCCTGGGGGTAAGCGACCGACGCGAATCTTGCAATGGTCCCCACCTCGTCGCAAAAGTCTATCACGTCTGCGCAATCGAACTGCTTCCCATGGTCGAAGACGAGTGCATTTGGGACCCCGAAGCGTGACAAAATGTTGTTGCGCAAGAAACGCGTTACCTGTTGTGCCGTTATGGATGCCAGTGCCTCGGCCTCGATCCACTTAGTGAAGTAATCCACTGCCACGATTATGTATTTGCGCTTCCCTTTTGCTGTTGGGAAAGGGCCCAAGAGATCGACTCCCCATTGCGCGAAAGGCCATGGGCTCAAGTTGCCTTGGAGCTCGGTGGCCGGCAAGTGGTGTTGGCGCGCATTGACTTGGCATTTGTGGCATTGGTCCGCGTAATTCTTCGTATCCTTCTTAATCCTCGGCCAGTAGTAGCCATGCAGGAGGATGGTGCGCTCCATGCTGCGTGGCCCTGCGTGCATCGCGCACAACCCCTCATGCAGCTCGCGCACCAAATCTTGTGCCTCCTCTTGCCCGATGCATTTGAGGTAGACGCCCGAGTATGATCTTCGGAACAGGTTCCCTTCGATGAGTGTGCACCGAGCTGCCTTTTGCCTTAGCGCCCAAGCTTGCTTAGGGTCTTCCGGCACCGTCCCATCTTGGAGGTATTCCACAATTGGGTGTCTCCAGTCTTCGTTTGTCATGAGCTGTGTTGTGTTGACCGCTGATTCCGAAGGGGTATCCTCTTCTTCTTTTTGAACGGACACGAGGCGCGTGGACTCGAAGTCGGTGGCCGTCGCCAGTTTAGATAGTGCGTCAGCATGCGCATTCTCCTCCCTTGGGATCTGCGCATATGTTACTGCTTCGAATGTTGCCGCTCTCATTTTGACGCGTTCCATGTAGTGTGCCAGGGCGTCCTCCTTTGCGTCGAACGCGCCGTTCAGCTGGTTGACTGCCAAGGAGGAGTCGGAGAGTATCCGTATCGTTCTTGCCCCTAGGTCGTGAGCGGCTGTCATCCCCGCCAAGATGGCCTCGTATTCCGCGGCGTTGTTTGTCTTCAACGCTCGGAACCTGATTGCGATCTCGTGCACCACGCCAGTAGGTGTGCGCACCACGACTCCTGCCCCGGCGCCGTGTTTGCTCGCCGCTCCATCGACATAGACTTCCCAGACGCCCTCCGGTGTTGTTTCGAGGGTTACCCCCTCTGCAATGAAGTCTGCGAGGATTTGTGCCTTTATCGCTGGTCTTGGCGCGTACTGAATGTCGTACTCCGACAGCTCGACCGCCCATTTGACCATGCGCCCCGACACTTCCATCGATGTCAGAATCTTTTTTAGCGGGAGGTTTGTCAGGACGGTGATCTGGTGCGCTTGGAAGTACGGGCGTAGCTTCTGCGACGCGCTCACGAGC